GTGAAAATTTAATCTTCAGAAGATCTCCCTGTGATCCCAAGTTCCTACCTCTTCTATCTGGAGCTAAGACCCTCAGCTGAATTAGGTATTCCCACTGCCTCACATGTGTCTTGTGCCAGGGATGCTGGAGCATGCCTGAAACACAGTTCCCAACAGCTGCTATGAGCAAAGCTGCACCAGCACCTGTGTTAGGGTGCTGAGCTCCACAGACCATGGTGTGCTGGCTGTCTAAGACCTAGGTGCTTCAGTGCCTGGGAAGAGCCAGCCTCCAAACTTCAGTGAACACAGGCCCTCCCTGCTTCAGGCTGGATGTTTGGGCCAGGGTCTCCTGAGACCATTGTTACTCACACAACTGTGACAGCTTTTTTCAACCTTGTCCCAAGACTGTTTCAGAGCTGGTCCACCCTCCATTTTCCATGCTTCCCTACCCCTGTGCAGACAGCATACGTACAGAGATGGCGTTGATATCAGACTCATGTCCTCCAAAGGTCTGACGGCAGGCACCCTCCCGCACATCCCAGAGTTTGGCAGTAGCATCACAAGCCCCAGAGATAAAGAGTTTGAAGTCTGGGGAGACAGCCAAGCTCATACAGTCTCCGGTGTGTCCCAAGAACACAGTCTTCTGCTGCCCTGTCTCAATGTCCCAGAGCGCACTGTGCAGGGGGAGAAGAGAGAACTAGTCAACCCAGGCGAACAGTGTAGAGTAGGTCTACAGCTGGGCCAAAGGGCTGTCCCACTCGCAAGCAAAAGGAGGAGGGAAGCCACGGCTACAGCACGGAAAAACGGGTGATAGCATCCCTGGAGTCAGCTGTATACAACAAGAGATACCTTCACAGCTGTTGCTGGTGACACCTTTGCCAAAGCAGAGTTAAACTAAGGATGGGGGTTGTGAGGTTTGACCATATTCCTGTAACTGCAACAGTTGAAGGGAATACTGAGACGAGGTAAGAGTGACACAAAAAGCATGAACCAGCAAATGGCTGAAAAAGATCTGCTGTGGCCACGCTTGTAGGATGCACACCCCATGTTCACACTACAGCCAGGCAAGCAAGCCCTGTGTTACTCTGATCTCTGATGGAAATGCCACATCCTGACTCATCCTTGGTCAAGAGGTTCTTCCAAAGCAGGTGTTGGGATGGGATGGGGTGAATAAAGGCTCGGCATTGCTCAGAATCACAGCACAGCGAGAACTGAGAACCAGGAACAAAAGGCTCTAGGCACTAAGTCTGATGGTGTCCCTTGCACAGTGGGCAAGACTTGAGAAGTGAAGCACATTGGTGGGCTTCACATAAATTTAAAATGTTTTCTGTCCTTGGATAGCTGACACTGTGCTTTGTGAGAGCTGACAACATGGTCCCTACTGCTTCACCAGTTGACCTGCATCTTGACCTGGCATCAACTGGGAAAAGAAGCACCTGTTCTGCCCAGGGAGGAAGAACGGATCAGGCTTCTTAAGGTGTTCCGTGTGGCCTCCCTATACAGGAGAAATTCTTCCTTAATGGACTGCTGCAGAGCCTAAAGTCTGCGCTTGCTGATGTGTGCTCTGCCTCTAAGAGCCAGAGGTCACATCACTAGGACACAAAAGACAGCACTCACCACGTGGTATCTCCAGAGCTAGTCACAATACTGTTGTCATCAAGAAATCGGCAGCAGGAGAGGTATCCTGGGAAGCAGGAACAAGCAAATATGAGAAAAGGTACAGGGCTAGAAGGGTGAAGTTTGGAAGCAGGGGTTGCCCAGGTTGCAGGCAGGTGGTGGACACACCTGTATGGGCTGAGAGCTCCCTGCTCACTTTGACGTTGCCTTCACGAGACTTGAGGCTGTAGATGGAGCACACATTGTCAAGACCCCCACAGGCCACAAAATTCCCTGAGGGAGCATAGGCACAGGTCATGACCCAGGAAGAACGCAAAGGGATGGCATGAACCTGGGAGGACAAGAAACCGTGTCAGGACTCTTGACAGCAAAGGGAGCAGGGCAAGGGCAACAGCTGTGAGGGGACCCACTCCAGCATCCCCATTTGCTGCATCCACCTGACTCCTACCTTGTTAGTTGTGTATGTGTCCCACACAATCAGTTTCCCATCTTGTGAGGCACTGACCATAAGTCTGTGAGAGAGGAACAAGATCATGTTAGTAGCTGTCTTCCCATCAGAGCCTTCCTGCCCATCATGCCCCTGTGCTGCCCTGCATCCAGCAGATCAACAGCATTGCTCTCACTTGGAGTCTGTGGACCAGTGCAAGGCGTAGATCTTGGCCAGATGCCCCCGCAGGGTCCTTCGGGTCCGCATCTGGATGCGGCCAACAACCTCCACTCCAGAAACAATCTGAGAAAAGAGTGGTGGGACAGAAAATCAGTCTTGGACTGGCAGAAGCTTTACTGCTATCCATATCTCTGCCTTCTAACTCTGCTTCCCAGCTGGAGAGAGACCCCTTCAGAGTGGTGCTAGCTGACTCCCACACAGTTACCTGCCCAGCCATCCCTGTCCCTTACCTGAGCCAGTGTTGTGTCTGCACAGGCTTTCCGGGCATCCTGGAGAAGAGACAAGAGCAGGAAGGTGAGACAAAAGCTCAAACTGGTCAGCATCCAGTTCCCTGTGCTGCACCCTTTCTGTGGATCCTCCCACTGAACATCAGCTGCCTTGGAGACAGAGGTGACCCCAGGGATTCACTACACTCTTTGGAATCTTGTCCCCTCTTCTTTCCTTTCCCCTCCCACTCTTCCCCCACAACCATGCTGTGAAGATCTCCATTAGCACTTAAAGGGCTGTGGAGAACTGCATAGGGTTCCGAGTGTGTAGATGGAGAAAGCTCAACTCCAACTGGTGGCTGAGAAGGAAAGTTTGTTCGCATGGTGGGGGGATAGACACTCTCTCAGCAGTTTCACGACTGTTGCCAGCATTACCGCAATCTGCTTCTTCAGCTGCTCAGCCTCCTGCTTCATCTGTTCCATTTCCCCCATCTTTCTGACCTAGGGGTGGCTCCTTCACGTGGGGCAGCCTTGATTCTGGGGAGACAAATCAAAGGAGAGAAGTGTGAAGTAGAAAGGGCACTAATATGACTGATCAGTCATGCAAATGTAAACATAAAGTCTTAGTGACCATTTCTTGGTTGAATGCTTGGTAATGTTATCTTGTATCCAGTCAAAGCTCTTAGCATTTGGAAAGATCGTACTGGGCCTGATCAAAGGTTCAGTTGATCTTGTATCCTGCTTACACATACACATTGTGAAGCTGAAGAACTCCAGAGCCTCTTACTGTGGTTCTGGCCACACTTGTCCTCTCATTTTTAACCTCTCCATTCCAAGCCCTACCAAGTCCAGGTCCTCTTCATCAGGTTTTCCCTGTTCATGGCCAAGCTGTCCCTTGCAGCTCCAGGAGGAGAAAATTTGATGGGGGGAGCCCAGTGGCTATTTCCTGTTGTTTGTCCTAGGCAAAGCATCACCAGGCAAGACCCACTAAGTCTTTGACTACTAAGGAAATTTGGGGGCTGTTGAGATGCTCTCTCAAGATTCCCTTTTAGTTTTCCATAAAAAAAAAAAGTGGAAGCCTAGGGAAGGATCTAAGGATAACATAAGCTGAGAGTGGTATTTCTCCTACTTGCTCAGCTCCAGCTTTTCACTGACATCCAAAGCTAGAGCAGCATTACTGTATGGAAGTCCTTCATGGACTTTTCTTCTATGCATTTGTCCACACAACTTTTGTGCCCATGTTAAAGTTTAGCATCCTCAATACCCCATCATGATGACTTCCACAGATTGGTGGCAGACTGTGCAAAGAAGTTTCTGCTTCCATTACTCCCCAATGTCACTAATTCCACTTGGAGGTACCTATATTTTGAGTTGGAAGAATTAGCAAATGAATGGTCTCTATTCACCTCTGCATCACTTGGTATTTTATAGATTTTTGTCATATCTGTCTTCATTCATCTATTATCCAAACTGCAGAGCAAACTTAGTCATTCCTCCCATGTAAGCTGTTACATCCTATTACCTCTGTTGTTCTCGGAGCTCTTTTCAGTTGTTTACAGAGCATAGATGATATGTTTTTGCAGGGAGAGCAGTGAACCAGAACTGTAATCCATATTCAAGATGCAGGTGCACTGTATCATTATACAGCATCTCTGTTTTGTTCTCTCTTTCTTCACCAGTGATTCTACCATCTCCCATTCCTGTAGACAGACCTGGTCTTTAATTGCTTTGACATTTCTCCTGGATAGGTGTGTGTCCAGATGTGTTCCAGGTGTTGTTTTCATTAGAACCAGTGTTTTGCCCCTAGGCCAAGAAATGTTCCAGCAGCATTTGCAGAATTTCTCCTAGTCCCTGTGGGTCACACCACCTCCATCCCTCTCTGGCCTGTTGCCCGAAGGCCTCATTTCTTCCAGCCTGTGAAGCTTTGGGTCCAGCCATGCCAGTCTGCCCTCTTCTTTGTCCCATCTTTGCTTGCTGCTTCATTGAGCTCTTTGAGTTTCCCCTCACAAATTCTTTCCCCTGAACGTCTCCACAGCTTTCCTTTGATCCTCCATGCACAGTGAGTTTCTGAGTGGTAAATCATTCTTGTGGCATGGTGTTGAGTAGGAAAGACAAGGAGATACAGGTTTCCTGTACCTTCTGGGAGGTATCCCAGAGCTTATCCCAGCAGGAGTCTGTTTCAGGCTATACTTTGCAGAGAGTCTTGTGCCTGCTGCCTGCAAGGCTGGACAGAGCTACAGCACTGCTGACTCTACCCTGCTCCCTGCCCATGCACTGCACATGGGTGCTGGCCTGGTCTGCTGGCCCCAGCAGACAGTGAGGGAGCAGGAGAGGAATTTGGGACTGCACTGTCAGAGGCACATGCCACAGCAGTGGCCTGGGGCTGCCAGCCTCATCTATACTGAAGGATGGAAACAGATCAGCACCTGAGCTGTGCCCTTTACATTTTTTTTTATTTCTCTCAGAGCAGTGATGAGGAGTGTCCTCCCAGTAAGGACGCACAGCTGCACTCATTGAGTGACTGGCCATGAAAGCCCACATGCATGCAGTTCTCCTTTGGGAAGGGAATGGATACGCTACCCTTCTCTCAGCTAACTGAGAGGGGGGAGATGCTAGGGAAGGCCTTTCAGCTTTCAGTTGGAGGTTGCACATCCTCCTTATCCTGTGGTGTTTGTCCCTCAGTTTCAGTGTACAGAAAGGCTGTGAGACTGTGTCCAGCTGTGGTCGCTGCCTACTGACACCAAGTGGCACACCTGAACTTCCAGCCACCCTGCAGGGACCAGCAGGCCCACCCCAGAGTCCGCTGTGGCCCAAATCCTGACCTTTCTCAGTGCTCCTTGGGACTGATTCTACCTCCCCTCCATTAACACTAAGCGTTGGATTGCCTTTCCTTCTGGGTCACCTCTTCCCTCCAATTTTCCCCTTCCAGCCTCCTCTGCTTGGTTCCCAAGCTCTTCAGGCTGTTATTTCACATGCCTTTGGCTGAGATCATTGTCCATCCAGCTGCCCTTATCTGTCTTTGTAGACTTCTGGTTTTGCCTACGCAGACCCGCATGGGGATGGGAACCTTGTTCTGCCTTCCTTCCAGTTTCTGCCTCAGGTGAAGCTGACTGCACAAGTCCTCGTCGTTACCCATTGAATCCCAGTCATCCTTGTATTGCTTCTGCTCTTTTATTGCTCTCTTCCGTTGCCTGAGTGTTTCTCAACTCTAGCACTAGCACAGGAGTGCCAGTTCACAGCCTTCTCTGTAAAGCTGCACAACGAGATGAGGGGCTTTCGGAGCCAGTAGGCAGATCAAACGGCAGGGGCAGGATGTCGAGGACAGATAAAAAGGTCTAAATATAGAGAAGGTGCAGCTCAGGACTCTGTCCGAACCTTTAAATCCCTTTGAGGGAACACTCTAAATGAAGCTGGGAATTGTTCTCAGCCTCAGAAGGACAAGGAGCCTCAGATGAGTGATAATAATAGCTCCATCTTTGCCTGTCCCCTCCATCCATCACATCCCAGGGCAATTTGTGGAGAGTGAGTTACCCAGTCCCCAGCGTAGTGCAGCTGCCTCCCAGGAGGACTAAAGCAGGTGTGCAAAAGAGCAGCTCATCATGGTCACGTAAATTTAGAACAGGAAATGGGGGGAATCAAATGGGAGAAGAACAGAGGAAAGGAGAACAGAGTTTGGAGTTTGGCCAAGGCATGTTCCTGCCTTGACCAGCAGGACCTCAGGAATGCACATTTCTTGTGGATCCAAGGATCAGCTCATGGTTGCTCATGGCAGCTGTCCAGGCTGGTTTTAATGGGAGAGGCTTCTAAATGGTTCACACTCAGTCCTTTCTGGAAGTAAGGGCTCTTTCAGGTGAATGCTAAGCAGTAGAGGAAACCAAGACCTTAGGTACCTTTGGAAAAAGCAATTCACCACCATCAGCACAGCTATTGACAGGTGGACCTTGGCACCAGCACTGGTCCAGAGTTTTGACCCCTACAAGTATGACCAGAGAGCACGGCAGCCAAACAGAGCCTGGGCTCAGTCAGTTCATGCCGGCCCTGTTCTGAACTCTGCCTCAGCTGTGCTCATCCAGTTCACAGCTCTTGGCTTCTGAAACCACATTTCATTTCTTCTGCTCTCCAACATGACAGTTCTTTCCACTCCTGCCTTTTCCAACAAATTTTCTGAAGGCACCTGATGTAGCATTCCTGTCTGTGGGCAAACAAACCCATCCTGAGCCCTTGGGTGTCTGCTCGTAGCAGACCAAATGCCTCTACTGTGGTGTGAGGCACAGGGGAATCTGAAATCACCTGTCTTCTGCCTTTTGCTGCCATATCCCGTCTTTTTAGGGCAGTGGCTATATCCCTTGCACTATGCCATGGAAGGGGCCCAGCTTGCACCCTAGGGACTGTCCCACTAAGTCACCTGCATCACTCCCTTGGATCAGGGTGCAAGTTATCTATCCTCTGGGTAGCTTCCCCCACACGGGGGAGGGAGTGGTCCCTCTGTGGAATGTTGGGAGAGGGCTGTGAATGGAAAAGGGAAAGGTGCAGAAAGGAGGACTCGTTATTAACAAGCAGCATCCCTGGGTCTCTGTAATCCCTGACTAGCTTCGCAGACTCGCCCTGGTGACCCTGGGCTCCTTGCAGAGCCGGATACAGAGATGATCCCTCTCTCCTGTGATGGAGATCAAAGGTCAGGGTAAAATTACCCTGATCTGCTCCTTGCTTTTTGAGGGCTCCTTCTCTATCCAGTAAAGCAGTCAGCTGTGAAGAGGTGTGCTCGGGGCACAACAGGAGTGAGGACTGTGTACAGGTAGTGAGTGTCAGGTCCCTCAGCAGAGGTGTTACCCTCCTGCTCCAGTGTGAAAACTAGTGAGATTTACCTGCCAAAGGGAGAACAAGCAACCCCATCCCTGTGCAAAGACCCTCACCACTGTAAAGACATCTCAGCGCCAACCCCAAGTCCCTCCCCTCCATGATCTCAACCTTCCGCATCCTCTGATGGGATCAGCCCTTGTACAAATACTCCACAGAATCACACCAAGAAACTCAGGCTCCCAAATGCCTGATTCACCAAGGTGACCTCAGGCATCACAACAGGGCAGGGTACTTACCGGGATCTGTAGAATGAGGTGGGTTGTAGTCCCTTCTGGATGGCACCCTCACAGCTGCCTCCCCGGTGAGAACAGCTCCTCGCTGGCCAGAAGCCCCTTGTCCCTTTGCTTTCTCCAGTCAGTCCTGTTTGTCCACCCAGTGAGTCCCTTGCTCCCTCTCTGCTCCTCAGCCTCTCCCAGGACTGATCTCCCCATGGGGAGCTGGAAGGCTGTGGACGGGAGGGGTTGGGGGAGGGCTGATTCCAGGAGCAGCGTCAGGCAAATTAAATCAGACACCAGAGACTTGGGGAAATCGGATTGGGACGTAATGCAAAGCAGGTGGATGGGGAGGGGTGAAAAGAGAGAGTAGCACACTGTTCCTGAAGGGAAAGAAACCATCACAGGCGGATTTGACTCCGTTTATATCAGCAACAAACTAATAAAGTGAAGATTAGCCAGAACAGGCTTGGATTATCAGCCACTGGGGCAGGGCTTGCTGTACCTCACAGTCCACAGGAATTCCCATTTTCCTGGGGACAGCATGCTACGCATGTCCTGGGCAGGGCGGAAAGAGGAATGATGCCACCCACACAGGCCCTGATAAGGGAAAACCAATGCCAGGGCCGTCACACCCTCTCTGGGCAGCAAATGGGGCTCTGGATGGGGAAACTAGAACTGGGCACAGGGGTCCAGGGTGGCAAAAGATTTGGTGGCATGCCTTTTGGCAGCCACTTTAGTGGGATGCTGCAAGGGGATTATCTTGGCCTCAATCTCTTTTAATCTCTCCCGCGGCTTTGGCCCAAGCCCGAGATAAATACCTTTTAACGGATCTCATCTGACGTCAGGAGGCCATCAGTCTAATCACCCAAGCCACCTTTGGGCAAAGCAAGCCAGAGATGTGGACACTGGCCCCTCACTCTCCAACATGTCCTCACCAGGAAGGAACCACTCAGCACCCCCACATAAATCATCAGGATGGACATGTGAATACTAGGATGTGATGGACCCCTTGCCAGTGAGAAGGAATTTGAAATGCACACATCAAACGGTCTTTTTCCTGTGACCCTGGGGAGGATGGGAAGCAAAAAGAGTTGCCAATGCAGGTTTCCCAAGCTTGCATGTTAAGGAAGTGTCAGGATTCAGATTGAGGAGAGACTTCCCTTTCCACAGAGCAGGGGCCCTGTGTCAACGGTGATGAGGGGATCACTCATCCACCTACCTCTTACACCACTGACCTGGCCCTACAGATTTCTTCCACTTGAACTGTAGCTGAGGTCTCCATGCACAACTCATCAAGGCCTGAGTATGTCATGACCACAGATTGATCTCTGGCTCTAATGCTTCCCAGGAAAAGGGTCACTGCTCTTTTTGATACTCCATATCCACCCCATTCAATTCCTATTTGGCTACAAAATAATCCCATCTCGGGACACTAATCTCCCAGGCAGTGACAGCAGATTGTCTTTCTATCAGGGTGGAAAATGATAAACAAAATCTCTCTTCTGCTTTCAGGGACAATTTAGTGCATGGAGAGAGAAAACACAAACAAACAAAAAAAAAAAGAGAGGCTTTGCTGCAGAGAAACGTGAACATATAGTGCTTTTTCTTAAAGGCACTCCTCACCCTTTCCATGCTAGTCATGGCCAAACTCACTTTCTCTCATCTAGGCAAACACTGATTTCTTTCAGCGAGCACTCAACCCCCTTCCATTATTTGTTAATTAAATTTCCATCAGCAACAAGTGTACACGTCTCCCTCGTGGTGTACAGACTCCAGCTCCCACCAATATCTGTGTCCAGCATTTCGCTTTTATTCCATATATTCACAGTTCCTCACCTTCCCTGTCTCAGACCAGTGGTGAGGTTCTGGAATCTGCAGGTGCCTAGGAAAGTCAAAGGCTTCAGTTTTGAATTCCTAAATGTGAGACAGCCCTTCCTGAAAGACTCCAGGCTCCTCCTCCCCCTTTCAGATTTAGCCCTGGATGACCAAAAAGTTGGCACTGAGAGGAGTGGGGTGAGAAGACCTTATCTTCTTACTTCTGAGTGACACAAACTGGTGAGGCAGTGAAAAAAGTTCCAGGTGCCGCTGACTTCCACACTCTGCCCTTCTCCCATTTTTCAGCTGCTGGAACACCACAGAGAAGAAAGCTGCATCCCTTTCCATCACTACAGCTCTAGCATGCTACTACACTGCTCCAGGCCTCGATGGTCCCGGTCCTACCATGACCTGCCAGGCCATGGTGTGTGCCAGTCCTGCCCTCAGGGCCCTGCGTACTCAGAACTCATCTCTGGCCCGCAGCACCTTGGGGTGCTGCTTGCTGTCTGAGCCAGGCTTCTGTCTCCGATTTGCAGGCTTGGTTCCACTGTTGTGAACAGGAGGCTCTGAGGAGGATCTGCTGCTGCGATCAGTCCCCCGACGTTTTTCTCCATCAAGCCGGTCCTGCTCCACAGCCTTCTGCTCCATCAGCTCCTCTGCCTTCACCCGTTCCTGCAGCCATATAGACAGAGAAGATGTGAGCCCCTTCCTGCTGGGGTCTCGGCTCTGCTCACAGGGGCTCACAAGGCACATCATGTCTTTGCCACATCCATCCAACCACCCCAGAGCCCATTCTCTCCTGCAGGACCCATCACAGGCCGGCCCCTCCACCACACACCTTGTCAGAGGGCAATCAACCCCCAGTTGCTGCGCTAGGCCCTGCCCCAAGGGAAAGCCCAAAAGCTATTCCTCAGCAGGATTTGATCTCACTTGGAGGTACTTGTATTTGTTTCTTTAGCATGGTCCTTCACCTGCTCCGCGTGCTCCCGGGAGTGTGTGTACCAGAGAGCAATGGCACAGCGCCTTCCGCGGCTCACTGCCCACACGCCGTGGGGGTTCTCCTTGCCAGAGCTGAAGGCCACCAGCCTCCCGCACTTAGGATGCACCTCGGCCTGCCAAGAGAGAGAAAAGACCATGAAGCCATCAGTCCCCTGCTCTGAAGCACAGAGTCTTTCTACAGAGGTGGCACTGCCTCTGGGAACATGGAAGAGCAGAGAGCTGCTAAGCATCCACGGCCAGTCTTGTGAGCAAGGTAGACCTTGGAGAGGGGCAGAGAGAATCAAAAGGACAACAAAGGTCACAGACACCCACAGACTGGAAGAGCCTGGAAAATCTCAGCTAGGAAAGAGTTAACCTCTCCTCCGTCTGAGATTTGCCTCGATTTGCCTTTAGCTGTACGTATTTGAATCTGCCACAGCATCAGCACTGGACTGTTTTTGGAATGGTGGGATCCAATAACCAAATAGTTTCCTCCCACCCAGTCTCACCCTCAGTCCTCTCTCCTTCTTTTGGCCAGTCCCAGACTTACTGTGACAGTCACAGTGTCCACTTCAGTGAAGAAAAGGCCCCCACCTTGGAAGTCATCATTGAGGTAGAGAATGCCACTGTGGACAAAAAGGAAGAGTACATATGAGCTGAGAAGCTTATTCCTCCCAGGTACTTCCCCATGCTCCTTGTCACAGGAGGCTGTGGATACCACACATGCAAAAAGTGAACAGACCAGTTACCAGGAGAATCCATTTGAGGGTGTTAAATACAGCAGTGCCTAGCTCAGGGGAGTCCCTGAGCTGCAAGGGAGGCTGGGAGAGTGTGCCAGGGAATTAGCTCTATGCACTTGTCCCGTTTTCTTTTGTTTTTTCTTAATCCTCTGCAGTGTGCAGAGGCATCTGTGGCACTGCTGTGACAATGCTCAGGGCTTGACAGACCCTGGTTCTGACCTGGCATAGCGTTGTTTATGTTTTAGGGTTGGGAATAATCCAGTGTCTGGAAGAAGAGACTGATCAGCAAAGAAAGCCATGTCTTAACAGCCACGGAATTTCAAGGTAACATAAGAATGATCAAAAAGAGGCTTGGTGCATAGAAAAAAGAAAATTAAAACAAATTTATTTACTAAAGTTACACAAAAAGAGAAGTAGTAAGGTCGCTGTGCAGCACAGGTGAGATTACAGTCAACTAGGTGAAAGAATGGACCACAAACTGTGTGAGTTCCTCTTGGTATTCAATGAAGCTGATAGAAAACTTCAGAGGAACAACAGAGGCTCTTAATTAATGGGACTGGGGTAAAGAAATAGAAATCAACACTGTGGCTGCTGAAGCAATGTTAAGGATATAAAGGCAGTGAGAGGATTACCAACCCTGAAACCCAGGAAGTTACAGCTCTTCTGCCATAGAGTTTTAATAAGGCTGAGAAGCCAGGGGGGAACATGAGTGGAGAAAAGCAAGGAGAGCTCTTACATGTACAAAGGGACAGGAAGGTAAGGATAACGGTTGAAGCCTAAACAGGCCTGTTATCCTGACCTCAATAGTCTGCAGGGCTTTAGACTCCACTACTGAGGAGAAGGGTAATTGGAGCACAAGAGGTAAATGGAAAATGGTCTTAAAATGTAACACAGGGGTACTAAAAACAGATTGGGCTAGCCACATGGTATTTGACAAAACAGTTGATTTTTCCAGGGAAAGACTACATGCTCAATCTCAGCAGTCTGGACTCTGGTAAAAGTATTCAGAATGGTGCCACTGGAGCAATTCCTAATGAATTCAGAGAAGGTGAAGAAGAGCACGTGAACAGCACACAGTGACCAGTGCGCTGCTGGCACCAAAAGGAGCAGTGTTCACTTGAAGGAGCATCGCTATGACTCTTGGGCCCTGGGTCCAATCCTATTCAACAGTATCATTAATGACTATAGCACAAATACACAGAAGAGGCCCAGGAAGTTTGGAACACAGGGACTGACTTAATTCAAAAAGATACCAGAAGAGCTCAGCCCTTGTGAGCTCACCAGCCCTTGGTTAGTCACAACTCAAACAGCAAGAGGACAGGGATACTCCTGAAAATAGCTCAGTGGCATAGATTCCAGGAAGGTATTTTACCATACATTCAAGTGGAAGTCAGAGAATTCAGGGAGGAATGAAGTGACAGGATGGCTTTCTCCCAGGAAGGACAGAGACCTAACCAGTTACATGACAAAGCCTGGTAACTTTACAATCTGATTATACCAAGTCAACACCTGTATCAGAAGGGAAACAACTCAATGATACTGGAATTCCCTTCAAGTCCCACATTCTTGCCATAGGCTGCTTAGAGATTTCTGCTCTGCATACAGCTACCACTCAAAGAAAAGACAAATAAGATTTCTGGATGCTCAAGGATAGAATGGTGAGTAGCAGGGTATCAGCTGTAGTGAACTGACCTCATCTGGCTGCAGTGTGCAACAACTGGTATCATCATTAAAATGTATTTCACGTTCTTGCACATAAGAGTAACAAAATCTGCCACAGGCTGGAAAAAGCATAAACTCTCACAAAGAATGGAAAAACCCAGTACAAAGTATTGGCAGTGAATCTTGAGAGAGGTGAACAGAGAATAGTCACCAAGGTACACTGACTGCCCAAACAAAGGAATTCTGAGGAGCTTGATTATCCCTCTCCAGTAATGCACAGAAGACTGTAAAAGATGGAACTCGACTAGAAGAAACAGACTATCTAAAGAGTTGGCAGTGGTAGCCCCACAAGACAACAATTTGATATCATGGTTCTAGTCCGTGCAGCCTCCTACCCCCATTCTGATCTCTGTTAAAGCTGGCTCTGAGAAGTAAGGAGGGAAAAAGGGCAGGTCTTCTTCCCAGCCTAGGGAAGGTGCCTCACACCTTCTTCTGAAGGCACTGATGCAGCCTTCTGCCTGATGCTACAGTCCTGGATGGCTTTGAGCCAAAAACCCATCACCTGGTTTCTATAAGCTAAGCTCATCCTCTGATAGGGCCAGGGAGATGCTCTGATCTCTACATGATCTAATGCAGGTTCTCTTACCTGTAGTCCCTGTATACATAGGCAGGTGGTTCTTTCCAGCACTCTTGCCCCTCAGGATCCAAGAGACAATTATCAGCATGGACAGGATGACTAAGATCCATGCGACCTTCCTGTTGCCCTGAAAAGTTACAAAAATAAATATGGGAGTTTTTGGTTTCAAGAAAGAGTAAGTCAGAGAAAAAGGGGCACAGTGAGAGTAAACAGAAGACAGTCTCCTGAGAGCACATGGCTGGAACTGAGGAGACTCTCCAGGAGACAGGGACTAACAGGATGAAAGATTCTTTACCATCTACTGCCGTGCGACACACAAGGTGTGTGAACGAAAAATGGAGTTTCTTTCCAGGGGTAAAATAGGACTCTATGATTTTCCGAGATTTCTCACTAGCCTGCAGAAGCAATTTCGCGTCTCTCCAGTCCACGTCCCCATTTTGGGCCAGCTACAAGTGAATAACAGGTCTGTTAGAATACTTACAAAGACACTCTAAGAATGATACACGTACACAGTACAGAAGAGGCCCCTGTAAAGCCCTGTGGTCACTCAGGTAAGAAAAGGACACGTTTTCTCATTTAAAGATAAGCCAGGAGTAGAGCTATACACTACAGCAGTTTTTTCCTTTGCCACGTGAAGCCACATCTGGAATGCATCATCATTTTGGGTCTCCCACTACACACAGGATACAAGTAGACTGGAATGAGTCTTCAGTGAAGTGTCTTTAGATGACAGGAGTGTTAGAGCACATGACTTAGAGAAAGAGGCTGAAAGATCTGGGATTCTTCAGCCTAGAGAAGGCCAAAGGAAGATCTAACTACACTCTCTTGTCACATAACAGAGAAGATGGAGACAGACTCTTCTCAGAGACACACACTGAGAAGAGGCAACAGACAAAAGCTGCAGCAAGGGAAATTTGGGCTGGATATAAAGAAAAATTTCATCCTCACAAGAGTGGTACAGCACCAAAAAAGGTGCCCAGAGAGGCTAGGGAATCTCCACCCTTGGAAATGTTCTGGACTTCCCTATGCAAAGTCTTGAGGGATCTCATCTAGCTTTGGAATTAGACATGCTGCAAGCAGGGGGTCAGATTACAGACCTCCAGAGGCTCCTTCTACCTTAATTTATTCTCCAATTCTAAGGTAAGCATGTCTGTAAGTTTACCACACAGGGACAAGTAGCATTCCTGAAACCATGCCTCACATGAGAGAAAGCACATGTACAACATGCCTAAAGGTGATCATGGAGGAATCAGATCAGAGGAGACCTCATGTGTTATGAGGGAGAAAATACACCCATGACACCATACAGAGTGCAATTCACAGAGGAAAATGCTCAGGTGGTGAACACTTCTTCTGGACAATCAGGAAGGTGGCAGACTCACAGAGCCACTTTACCTGCATGGCCTTCAAAACAGTTAACCCTTCAAATCTCTCATGTGGGGTGTGAGGGGACCGTCTTGCCCGGTAGCCATCTCCTGCTTCTCCTGCTGCCTGGAATAGAAGGATAGAGATGACATGCATTAGGCTGCCATCTCTCCTCCATGGAAATCCTACCACCCTGCCTGCTAAGGAGGATGCATACAGGACCTCTTACAGGACTCTGGCCTCACCTTTGTCAGTCGGAGAAGGTCCTTACACTCAGACTCCGTCAGCACTCTGTCAAACACAACCCTCTGGGTTCCATTCATCTGGTGGGAATCCATCGTGACAGCAATACCCTCAAAAGGCAAAGGGCCTGTTGAGAAGCAAGTACAGATAGGCATGAGCAAGCTTTGGACAAGGAGCCCTCAGCCTGGATAAGGATGTGGAGAGGCACTGTACATTCTCTGAGAAGACAGGACAGTTCCCTAGAAGTGCCCATTCCTCGCAGACCCGGGCCACTTGCACCCCTTGCATGCTTCAGGGGAACCAGAGCATCAGCGGGGAAGCTGGGCTACAGCGCGTGCTCAGGAGCCAGCAGAAACCTGGGGCTTGCTGGGAGAGCAGCAGGGAGGTGGGGAAAGTTGAGTGCACTGTGGATCGCAGCAGCAGAACAGGTCCAGCCTACTGGAGTGAGACTCTGGAGAAAAGAAACAGGTAAACACCTTCATCAACCCTCCTTTCGATCACATATCTTACTCCAGAATACTCTCCAGTGAATCTTTCTTCAGTCTCAAAGAGAAGCAATGGGTACTAGTTGGTGATTTGGTCTTTTGATATTTGGCCTTTTTTTCTACCCCCTCTGACCTCTGGATGGTCAGGAATGCCAAGGCACTCAGGCCCTCAGAAGGATCTGCTCTCACATGTGCCACAGCAGAGTACCACTTGGGGTCATTTTAAGCAAAGACTCCAGGACAGAGGCCTGCAAGAGGCTGTGTGTCCATGCATAATAGGGACCAGCAAGAACACAAGACTCTGCACTGCAGTCTATATCATTCAGCCACAAACCATTTAGAATTCTGTTTTTCAGGGAAAGACTTGCCCAAGCCGAATCGTCTGTTTCCACTTTCCATTTCCCGGCCCCTCCCTCCTTGTCCCCTTCAGAAAAATGTTGTTCGAAGTTGTGCTGGTGGAGTTGAACCAGGTTTGGTGTAGACACTCCTGCCACCCTGAACAGGAAACTGCACGTCCACAGGCTTGTCACGTATTCAGGCTGCTCTCAGCATCTCCAGCCACAGTGCTCTTTGAGTTCCCATCCCAGAGATGTACGCAGTGAGATTTTGCAAGATTACACATGCATCAAAGAGGGAGAAAAGAAACAGTGAGAAGACTTGCTGAGCCATTCAAGTCAGTCTGCATCTATGCTAGCATTCAAATGTCTGAGGATGGAAGAAAAGACAGCAATTAGTCTGACTAAGCCCGGCTGACTGCATCCAAGGCCTTCTTCAAGCTCTTTTACTCACCCCTCTTCTCCCTCTCTTCCATATCCAGACTTTCCTCTTTTTGCTTCTCCTGATCCTCTCTCGGGAGCAAGGGAAAAAACAGAGACCAGGGCTGTCAGTACACAGAGCTGACAGCTGCCTAACCCTCCTCTGTGGTAGCATTTCACACCCTTCTTGTTCCTGTTCTGCTCATTTCTCTAGGTACTACTGCTCCTTGGACCATCCCCTAAACTTGTATTTCAGTCCTAGTCAACTTGTCCAATCTTACCTGTATTTCTCCTTTAGGTTTTCAGGAATAAGCTCATCTGGAGTCCAAAGATCCTGTAGGAACACATGGAGGTGGTTCAGTACACAACAAACTTCTCACACAGTGGATCATGTCAAACAGCCAGTCCCTTGACCTACTTCTCCAGTGAATACCAGACCAACAGTTCTGGACCACTTCTCAGGACAGATAGATTGAGCCAATGCATATGGTTACAGCAGCAATTTCAAATTAACTTCAGTCCTGGAGCAGTGGAAAGGCCTTAAAGACCCACCTCATAAGGACTTTGGGGTCCTTCTCCTCAGCATCTGATCCTTTCTGGATCATTTCCTACTCAAGTGAATTCTGGCAACTGTCTTGGTGAAATCAGGGCAGGAAGATTAAGAGGATACTGTTACTTACAGGGTCATTAAAAGTTTCTCCTAGATGTTCCACTGAATAATAAATCAACTTCTTCTCCATCAAAGATCTCTGCACATAGTGTTGAATATTCTAAGGAAGAAAAGACTGTCAAACAACCAGCTCACTAAAGATAACGCCATCCCTGCCCAGGCCGAAACTTGCCCAAACACACTGCTGTGCACTATTAAAGCGCAGTTTTGTCCTGAAGGGACACTGACTGTGACAGACTATAAGTAAACTCAGGCTCGTTTCTTCAGTCCTGGGGTTGGCACACATCTGCAGTGAAACACATTTCCCTTTTTGCCTCCTGGACTGCAATCCTATGGTACGGGACAGGAGAGGGTCAAGAAGTACAGACCTGGAGTTGTAACTACCTGTCTGGCTGTAACAGCTGTGTCCTCTCCCAGTTCTGTGCGATACTGTTTCATTTTCTCCAACATGGGCTCATCCGTGGGATAGAAAAGCAAGTAGGAAGCAGCACATTCAGCAGCTAGTGTCTGGTTCCCAACTTGGGCAGGGACAGAAGAGAACAAACATATATGTCTCTGAAAGACTTGACTTGAGCAGCAAATGTGTATAGGCCAGCAGCACTCAATGTCTTAGTCAGGATCTGGCAGCTGGCCTTATACCAAGTACACATCAATCCCTGCCTAGCTGGGCCTCTACCCAACGATGGGCAGAGAATACAGAAAATGAACCTTTAATACTTATTGTGAGCTCGTTCACAAGAGACAGAGAAAAAAAGTAAATATTTGAAAGAGAGATGGTCCCACCTCCATCATGCAACAGACACGATGAGGGGTCTGAGGCTTCTTTGGGTCTGACAGAGCAGATAAGAGACAGTTGGGTCAGTGTGGGAAAGAGCAGGGGTATGCAAGAGAAGGGCTGAGGGATGTGTGCAAGTGACATAGTGACAGGATGGCCAGTGTCATGACAGGCCATCAGTTCAGCAAGGGCAGGTAGGGCTGGCTCAGAAGGAACACGACTGCTGACATGAGATGCACGTGTAGGCCCTAGATCGGAAGTGGGGGCCTGATCTGGAGCCATGTACTGAAAAGGAAGGTATAAAACCACACAAAATAGCTGGAGAAAGGACTTGAAAAGGAGTGTGTTGAAGGAAAGACATGGGAACAGCCCCATATTACAGAAGCTGCGCAAGGAGACTGAAGCAGACCAAAAAGGACCTCTCCCAAGGTGGCCACAGGCTCGAGCAAGAGAAGAGAGATTTTGGGAAGAGTCAGTGGGCAGACAGGACTAGATCTCAGGTCAGCGTGCCACTTTTTCCCATGACATGCTGCCCTGCAGGACCAGAGACAAAGGGGAAGTGTAGGAGTGCCACAGCATAACCTGCTGGGTTGTGGCTCTGCTCACCTTGATTGTAGGCAAACTGCAGTAAATCAAGATGAGAGGGTATGAAATCTTCCGTGGCAGAAATCCGCCCCGGCTTTGTGGCAATTTCAAGGACACACTGCTGTCTGCACTTCAAAACCTGAATATAATGGGCTGTAAGAGAGAGGAACAAGAAAGGCAGTAGCCTACACTTCTTCCAGACGGGAGTGCTGGGAGATGGCACATGTCCAGCGTGCGGAGCACAGCCTTCCTACCCAATCCTCTGTGCTTTTAACACTACCTGCAATGGCTTCATACAGCCCAGGTTGCATGTCCTCCTCCTCGTCCTCATCCTCCCACGGCCCTTCACACAGGGCACGACAGTCCTCCAGTGCTGACAGGGCCTCTGTGAGTGACTCCTCCAGCTTGGCCATGGCCAGCACGTACTCATCTGCATCGTAGTGCTGCACACCAGCCTCATATGCTTCCTGTGAAGGACAGATCCAGGTCCCGTCATCAGTGTGGGTGACACCAAAGGATGCCCCAAGACTTTTGAGTCACTCACAGGATGGTGCTGAAATATGGGGGCCTGCCTGGTCAGTGTGTCACCACGCAGTGACAGCAAATCTTACGGACTTAAGCCAAATAACTGTCCAAAAAGTCTCCGTGTCACACTTGCAGTGGTTTGTCTTCACCTTGAAGAGAAGGCTCCAGGGAGACCTTCTTGCATTCTTTCAGACATAAAGGGGTCTGAGCAAGTCTTTTGACCAAGGCCTGCAGTGACAGCACAAGGGGCTACAGTTTTAAACTGAGAGTTTTGATTGGAGATAAGCTACTTGTTGGATGGGAGATAAAATACTTGTTATGAGGACTGTAGTGAGACACTGGAGCAGGTTGCCCTGAGAACCTGTGGATGCCCTACCCTGGGAAGTGTTCAAGGGCAGGTTGGATGGGGCTTTGAGCAACCTGGTCTAGTGGAAGGTGACCCTGCCCATGGCAGGGGGCTTGGACTAGGTGATCTTTATGATTCTATGTATGGGGGCCCTGTATGAAGCCATGGCCTTTGTGTGGGAACAGACCAGAGTCCCAGACTGGTCCCTAGGATGGAATAAGAGCTGCTAATGTCTGGCTCTGCACTGAGCCCTCACCCAGTGTGGCATGGCCTCCAGATCCCGGAAGCTGTTTGACTTCACCCCTGACATACGCTGGTACTTCTCGATGTCCTCCCGCATTTGGAGATGCTGGGGATTAGCGACGAAGAAGGTGTGAGCGGCAGACACGGCCTGATCCAGCTTCTTCAGCTGTGGAGA